AGGGGAGGACATTTCTAGAAGATGGAAAGGAGAGGGGAAAAGACAAGGTATGAGGATTGCATGTGGAATGCTTACAGTTTAGCTGTAATGGCCCTTTCTTGATTTGCATGAGAGTTCGGTTAAAATTTAAAAGGTTGATGCAAGGTGATGAAAGGTCTCCAATAGTGATGCTGAGGGGTCAGTGGAAGAATTGTAAGTAGTAGGGAGGAGGTTAGGATGGGGGGGGAGGGAGCATCCCTGAGAGGGGAGAGGCCATAAGTGGAGGGAAGGGCTTAGCTAAGTCCCACTGGGGGCAACAGAGAAGGGGATGAGGCTGTAGGAACAGAGGGGTCTTGTAGTTCTGCATCCCAGGATGGATAGAGAAGTCCCTGTAATTGAGGTTACTGATGTTATGGACAGTGTAAAAACAACCAGTAAGGGGTTGGAGCAAGATGGTGGCCGAGTAACAGCTTCCTTGCTACTGGGCATGGTCTGGGGAGAGAAGACTACAGCCATCTCTGGCTGGTGGGATCTGCCCAGAAACATCCCTTTGGGGACACAGGGAGTCAGCATGAGACTTCTGAACCCCATGAGGAGGACAAAAGCAGTGGAGAACTGGCAATTGTTTGCATGTGTTCCTCCGGTCTAATCCCGCCAGCAGTTGTAAGTACAGCAGCAGTGAGATTGCAAACTGGAAAGACCTTACCTGTGAGCTGTTTCGGGTTTTTTTGGACTTGACACTCAGTTGAACCACCTTGGGAGAACTTGGGCAAGAGTGCGGAGGACTTTAAGTGTTGTCTAGGGACCAGACTGAGCTGCTGAGCCAGACAGAGCTAATAGTGTTTGGCTGTGGGCTGTGCCATTATGGGCGAACTGCCCTGGCAAGCTCCAGCCTCAGGGTCACAAAGCAAAGATGGGGTGGGATGGTGTAATCTAGTGACTGAGCAGCCTAAAGCCGGGGACTGCCAAACCAGTTGGAGTCAGGGGACCATGCCCCCTTTTGCCAGTCTCAGTCCACTGCCTGGCAAGCCTCTGTTTGCAGGCTCTGTTGGAGTCAGGGCATGGGGCCTGCCCTCTGGTCTCAGTCCACACACAGCTAGCCTCTGCTTGCCAGACCAATTGGAGTCAGAGGACCATGCCCTGCCTGCCAGTCTCAGTCCACTGCCTGGCAAGCCTCTATTCACAGTCTCTATTAGAGTCAGGGCACCACACTCCTCCCACAGGTCTCAGTCCTCACCTGGTAAGCCTCTGCTCACCAGCCCCCCTGGAGGCAGTAGAGTATGCCCTAGCCCTCAGGGCTTGGTTCACACCCATTCAGCCACTGCTCCAGAGTTCTGTTAGAATCAGGAGACCATGCCCTTGCTCTCAGGTCACAGTCTAAGCCTATTAAGCCTCTGCTCACAGGCCCAGTAGGGACCAGCCTTGTCTGCCAAACTCAGTCCACATGGGGCAACCACTATTCTGTTGTGGGTATTGTCAGAGCCAGGGGTTCTGCACCCCCTCCTGCCAGACACAGCCCAAACCAAGGGTCAACACTACCACTGGTGGGGCATGGTCATAACCAGGGGACTGCTCCTCCTCCCACCGAGTGTCCTTTTCTTCCCACACCCTCTTTCTTCCCCATTAGTCACAGATTTCATCCTGATGGTTGGCGGTCCACACTATGCCCAGGTCTCTCAGGACAAAAGTAAATGCTCTGTGCTCTGCAGGAGGCAGAGCTTCAGACCATGATGTGAGGGGGAAAGGGTGGACTGGGAGTTTGGACTTGTGAGTAAGGTGACCAGACGTCCTGCTTTTGGTAGGACGGTCCTGATTTTTAACAATTTGTCCTGCATCCCATGGCGTTTTTAAAAAGTCCCGATTTTTGGAAAGAATGCATGACAAGCTAGGGAATGGTGGGAGAATGGGAAGGAAATATATGGTTTTCAGCTGCTGAAAAGGTTAATGTAACTCCATTTGGGAATGAAGAGGTTAATGTAACTCCATTTGGAAATGAAAAGGCTAATGTAAACTCCCTACTCCTCTCCTGGGCAAGGAATCAGAAGGAGACTGGCTCCCTCCCTTGCTTCTAGGCAAGGACAATTAGCTCAGAAGGAGCCAAACTGTCTGGAACAAACAAGTAGCTCCCCCCTCAGAGTAAAGTGACCAGATGTCCCACTTTTGGCAGGACAGTCCCAATTTTTAACAATTTGTCCTGCATCCTGCGGCGTTTTAAAAAAGCCCTAATTTTTGGAAAGAATGCACAACAAGCTAGGGAACAGGCTGCCATATGGCTATTTCACCAGGATATGCATTTTATATTATTTTTGTTAATTTTATAATGTCAAACTTTAATAATAACAAATAATTGTTGAGAACTGATTATCGAGAACTGCTTATCAAAGTTTGCATTGTTGTCAGGTCCCGTCCCCCCAATGGTGTCCCACTTTACCATTGCTAAAATCTGGTCACCTTACTTGTGAGGAAAAATATCTATTCAATTTTATGCCTGGAGGGGTGGTGTCTAGGTTCATAAGCGGGACCTCCCTGGAGAAAGAGACCTGGAGCTTAGTGGTTCTCTCCAGCAAGGTAAAATGAGAGATCTTTTGTTCCTTGCTCCTTTGCAGATAGGCTGCGGCAGGCCTTCTGCTTGGGGGAGGGATCTCCCATCCTCTACTCAATAGGCTTTGTACCTGTAATTTGTTTTCTTGAATGCTCTTCCTTGGAGTTACAGCTTGCCGAACTTCTTTCTTGGCTCAGCTCCCCGGCTTTGGCTTCGTAGCGTCTGGTTCCATGCAGTTTTTCTTTCTTTGCTCAGGAGCCTCTGATGAGGGTTGATACCAGTCTGCCATCTTCCCAGAATTCCATAAAGGTGGTTTAAAGGTGTGTCTACTCATCCTTCTATTTGCATATTTTGAATCAGATAAGAGCTTGATAACTAGAATCTATAGAGAACTCAAATTAATCCACATGAAAAAAGCCAACATCCCATATATCAATGGGCAAGAGACATGACTAGAACCTTCTTTAAAGAAGACAGATGAATGGCTAAAAAACATATGAAAAAATGTTCATCATCTCTAATTATTAGAGAAATGCATATGAAAACTACCCTGAGATACCATCTAACCCCAGTGAGAATGGCCCACATCACAAAATCTCAAAACTGCAGATGGTGGCATGGATGTGGAGAGAAGGGAACACTTTTACACTGCTGGTGGGACTGTAAACTAATACAATACTAATACGTATTTCCCTCTTTGGAGGGAAATATGGAGAACCCTCAAAGAACTCAGTCTAGACCTCCCATTTGATCCTGCAATCCCATTACTGGGTATCTACCCAGAAGGAAAAATATCCTTTTATTTTAAGGGCACTTGCACTAGACTATTTATAGCAGCTCAATTTATAATTGCCAAAATGTGGAACAGCCTAAATGCCCACCAACCCAGGAATGGATTAACAAGCTGTGGTATATGTACACCATGGAATACTATTCAGCCATTTAAAAAATGGAGACTTTACAGCCTTCGTATTAACCTGGATGGAAGTGGAACACATTATTCTTAGTAAAGCATCACAAGAATGGAGAAGCATGAATTTTATGTACTCAATTTTGATATGAGGGCAATTAATGACACAGTGGGTGAGGGAAGGGGAGAGCAGAAAGAGAAAGAAGGAGGTCCCATACTACTCAACCTTTTCCAAAATATAGAAAAAGATGGAATACTACCCAACACATTCTATGAAGCAAACATCACCTTGATACCAAAACCAGGTA